ATATTCGATCAACAGAACAGAAAGAATACGACAAAAGGAACAACGCTGCACTTGCTGCCATTCTCGCTGGAGTATCCACTGATCACCAAAGGATCGTCGCTGGCTTGGTTGGCCAATCCGAATCTGTCCGGCTCGCATGGCAAGCTTTGAAAAACAAGTTTGACCATGAAACAACTATATCAACTTTTCAACTCTCTTGTAGAGCTTGAAATGGACAAAGGCGATATAATATCCGATCATATCTCCAACTTCGAAACGACCTACGCCCACATCTACGATCGGTGTTCTGGCTCAACTCGGGAGGAAGCAATGAATATTAAACAATTTTTTGCTTCTGACTCGGTCAAAACCATGTCATTTCTCCGCACTCTACCTAGATCTTTCGAAAACATCGTGGAAAATCTCATGTCCAAGGAACATATCACTTTTGCCGATGTGAACAAGCGTCTACTTGACATCTAAGCAGCTCGTTCCTCTTCGCTTGGTGATTCCAAAGCCTACTTTGCTGGTGGCAAAGAATCATTTACGCATGAAGCCACGAAGACTAGTAAAGAATACTCCTGGTGTAAATCCAGGGACAAGAAATATAAGGGTCACATACACTCAGAATGTCGACAGTTGAAAGCTCACAAAGGAAAAGGAACTCAAAAAGTCAAGGAGAAGGCACATGAAGCTGCTGCAACCGAAAATCTCGATTCAAGCTCTCATTACTTGCTGGATCCTTCAGTTGAAAAGCCCTTTGTCTCACGTTATTCTTCCTCTCATCCATGGATTCTTGACTCTGGTGCTACCTCTCATTTGATACCATTAAAAGAAGATTTTACATCAATTTCTCCTAAGAATAGCTCTATCTCATTGGTATCAGGTTCAGTCTTACCCATTCACAGCTCCGGAAACATCGAATTTGACGTGAGCCTGAGTAATCAACAAATAAAGACCGCCAAATTCAATAATGTCTTGAATATCCCAGGTCTAAGGGTCAGGCTGTTTTTAGAATCTTAACTGGATGAAGATGGATTTAAAATTGCTTCAAGTAATGATAAACGGCGCGTTACTAAAAATGATGAAGAACAATTGTTTGCTAAATTTATTTTGGGTCAATATTTTGTCCAAAAAGTAGTTGAAAAATCAGCTTTTACTTCCTATCTTGACGCGCATGAGTCTCTTGGTCATGCTGGTACCTCTGTCATGTCTCAATTGCGAAAAGCTGATCCCTCTATCCCTTCAAAGCCCGAATCTTTTACGTACACTGCCTGTCTTCGTTGTAAATCAATACGCAAAATTTTCAAGTCTACGCATAGGCGCGACTCAAAGAAATTTGAACTCGTACACTCTGATTTATCTGGACGATTTTCTGTCAAGTCACTTGGCGGAAAATAGTAATACATTACCTTCATCGACGATTTCCCTAGACATGCCTGGATCAATTTTCTTAAGCACAAATCTGCTGCTTCAAAGGCAGCCCGAGACTTCGTATACTTGATCCAAACATAGTTTGACGCAACGATAAAAATGGTCTGAACTGATAATAGTGGTGAATACATTAATTCAGATGTCGAGACTTTTTTTGCAGCAACTGGTATCATCATGCGAAACTCTCCTGCATACCCACACGAGTCTAACAGTATAGCGGAAGAATTTAATCAAACAGTTGTTACCAAGGCTTACATAGTGCTCATGGAACATGGAAAATTCCACTGGGCAGAAGCAATCTCTATTGTCACGAATCAAGGAACAGGCGCTGGTGCAAATATGTGGTCGATAGTATGTAAATTATCATTCTGAAGAGAGAACTACTTCAGACTCTATCTATACATATATATATCTACATCGTCTATGTGTTTGAGGCACAGTCCCTCCGTCTCGTATCCAATGGGATTCTTCACATTTGTTGGCCCTAGTTGTTTTAACACCTCAATGTGTTGTAGCTGTATGGTCCAATACTGCTGCCCTGCCAAACTAGATGCCGATGCCTTGATATTCTGTTGAGTGGCATCATATATCCGCGCATTGATGTCGATCAATCGTGCGCTACCAATGTTAAGCCAGACTCATGTTGACCAACATGCGCTACAGGGACCAGTCGGCTTACCAGCCGTTACATCTATGGCAGTCTTCCTATATAACAAAATCCCTCATCGAAGCATTAATGGTCAATCTCCGATTGAGGCTCTGACTGGCCATCCCTTCAATTCGACCACTCACCTCCACTGTAACGCACGTACCACACGAAGGGTGCAGGTGCAGCATTCCTCACGCAGAAGATATGCAACTGCAGCCAGATAGCTTTACCACAATACCAACTGGCCTAAAAAGGCTCAAAATTAGATCTGTGTATATAGTAGTTATCTTACTATATCTGGTAGAATTGTGAGCTCACACAGAGCATCAAATCTACCATTTAGGCTCAAATGCGCTTGTTCATATCCTTGAAGAAGCCAGACCATCCGGCTCAAAATTGATGCCCAGAACCATAGACGGTATAATTGTTGCATATACAAATACTAATAAAAATTTCCGTATATATATTCCATCAAAAAGATCCATCATAGTATTAAGACAAGTTTTATTCCCCCCTGCCATGCAAGGGGAAGTCTCTCGATATCAATATCCCCGAGAAGACGACACAAAGCTCTTTATAAAAAGCTGATTTTTCTCCTCCGTCTCCAATAAATCATTAAGTAATGCCACCAGAAATTGCTAATTTGCCTGGTGAGTATTCTGATTCCCCAAAATACTCGGGTCTGCCTGCTGCTATCAATTTATCTGATCCAAATCCATAAGAAAATATTCCTTCTGCCCTTTGCCAGATCAATAGAAATACGATGTGACGGCTAGTAAGCCGGTAGATTGCCTGTAGCCTGTGATATTCATCTCATGCATACTTATTACCTCAGCGCTAAGATACGTTGGTATTAAGAGTCTGGTACTCCCCGTGCACGAAACATCGTTGGTAACTAGCCCACACTTTAATAGTGGGAGCCGGACTAGAGGACAGAGACTAGTGTTTGAAATATTGGAATCATGTATATAAATAGGGCGTTGAGTGTAGCAGTAGTCTTGTTCTTCAGTTAGTAAATAAACTTACCTTTCGACATATGAACGCCCAAGCTTTATTTATCGGAACTGTTACATACGACAACCAGATAGATTTGCAAACTATAAAGCGCACGCAGTCATTGAGGAGCCCATTACACACAAGCAGGCAATGGCAGCTGAAGATTCTGAAAGATGGATGCACCTCGGCGCAAAGATACATAGACAGCTGTGTCCATACCTATTGAAAGCTCAGTCGTAGGATCTCGCTGTGTTTCTCAAGGTGAAACACAATGCAGACGGCTCTATTGAAAGATACAAGGCTCGAGTTTTTGCTGAAGGATTCTCTCAAATTCCTGGCACTAATCTCGAAGCAACCTATGCACCAGCTGTACGCTTTGACCCTCTACACTTACTTTTCGCATTAACTGCCCATAACAAATAGAAAGTTATACAAACGGACGTTAAATCAGCATTTTTATATGGAAAATTAGACTGCAACATCTATATGGAGATTCACGATGGGCTCAAGTAATCTATTATGGTACATGAGTTGCGAAAATGTATCTGTGGACTGAAACAATCCACCATTGAGTGGCATCTCACCTTAAAAAATGCTCTGACCAAGTATGGATTCGTTCAAGCTACATTTGATCCATGCCTCTCCGTCCACAACAAGACCACTGTCTATGTTGCTGTCTACTTTGATGATATTCTGATCTCTGGCTCTGATCTCAAGATTATTAATGAATACCGCCTATTCCTTCATTCAGAATTCGAATGCACAGACCTAGGACAAGCTCATTATATTCTCAGAATCGAAGTAGAAATCACACCACGAGGCATATTGCTTAGCCAGAAATCATACTTCCTCAAAGTCCTTCAAAGATTCGGCATGCTAGAATTTCATCCCGTTGCTACTCCACTCCCTTTGTTTGGGTTATTATTAGTAATTCATCTCAATGTCCTTTCTGAGTCTATGACTATGTGTGAGTATCCGAAAAGAGCGCGAGCTAGGCGATGACAATGTCGAATCAATTAGAGACTCAGATCAGGATTGTAATGTATAAGATTCTAAACTAAAGAAGACGAGAAGAATTGCATCCGAATCGGAGTTGAAAGCAAACATAGACACATCTACAATCGGCGACTTCTCATTAATGTCGGACTCGTCATTCTCGCGAGAATCCTTTACCTTAACCTCTCCACACACCACCTCGTCTCAACAACCGATAAAGGCGTTACTCTGTTGGAAATCTAGACTCAGTATGTATGAAGGTTTAGATTTCTAGGTATGATCATCAAGTTCAATTGGATTGATTCGATTATATATGGATAAGCTTAGCTAGGCGACATAAGGTTCAGTGGTATCTGAAATGCAGTGGGTAGGAGATTCTACCTTGCGATAATTGAGTGGCTGGTTGTTGCTAGATCACTGGGAGTTCTGGATCACTAAATCTGTCGGAGCACTTGCTCTGGTAGGCCTGAGGTTTAGATTCATGCCTTAGGCTCACAAGTGGACTCAGGCTTTATCAACGCTTCAGGGGCGTCCACAGATAGACATCCATATACATATACACGTTAATCAGTCGCCGCTTCTGCAGTAGCAAATACCATTCTCACTACCTGTAATATCACAGAGATTGACCCTGTCATACCAACACTGATCAGTGCTTGAATTGACAGCAAGCACAGACAGCTAGGTACTTCATAGGAAGATGATCCCATCGGCAAGTTCGACCAGGTCGTGAAAGGAAGCGACTGCCCTTTCCACAAGTTGGGTTCCGGTAGTGCGTATATCGAAGCACCGTATCACAAGTTGATATCACTGCCTTCCCGGTGTCCAAGACCCCGCCAGAATCGACAAGATGAGCCATACTAAGGTACCAGAGTTTGTAGGACTTCGTCAGGCCGACTGGGTAAAAGGAACAATTACTGAAGGTACCAGTATTTCGAGAGCGCTGATGGGTCTCGGCAAGTTGTATGTCAACCCCCAGGACAAGTTTGGAGCCAAGCATTATGAGGTGCTCGAAAACAAGCCGAGAATTTTCTTCGAAAAGTGCCGAATCGCCGGGGTTGGCGAAAATCAGTTTAAGAATGTGTTCTCGACGATGCTGCGAGACGCCGCCCACGACTACTACTTCAGGCACCTTGCTGAGCACCTTAACGACCTGAGTTTCGATGAGATGGTCCACAAAACGAAGGAAAGGTTTCACACGAAGACAGAAGAGCAGAATTACCTGACAGAATGGCGAGCTCTCACCCTTCTCAAGGTTATTAGGGACAATCCCGAAAAGAACACCCTCCAATGTCTTGACCTGGTTATCGAAAAACTCCAAAAGATCTACGAAGCTCTCAGATGTAACTATAGTCACAAAAGCCACAGCCTCGCCGGACAGCTGTACGCTGCATGTCAAGGCGTATCAGCCTGCGCACAAGCACTCATCCGCCCCCACGACGGATTCGAGAATGCCTGCGCTGAGCTACAGTCTACTGTCAAGATCCATATGGACTGTGCACCACGGAATACAGAGCAATTTCATCAGGAAGCAGAATACGACAATGACAAAGAAGATAACAATGGACAGTTATTTGTCGACCGCAGGTACAGAGAAAGAGGAGGCCACAATAGAGGGAGATTACAAGGAAGAGGTGGATTCATGGTGGATTCAGCAGCAATAACGACCGCCAAAAGATCTGCTTCGTGTGTAAAAAGGCTGGATGCTGGTCCACTCGGCACACACCAAGCGAACGTCAGGGACGGATCAAGAGCTGGCGGACGTACATGGCGGAGAACGAACTCCCGAACAACAACAATACCCTGGGTATGTTTATCATCGACTATGAAGGTTACGAGGCGAACCAAAATGACGGTGAAAGTAACCTTATTGACATGTTCAACACGTGGTCAGAAGACAAGATTGAACAGTTCAACACCAGCTACGGGACCATTGATGGACAGAATACGGCTATCCTGCTCAACAATCAAGCGTCCATACATGCCCTAACAGGCAATGACCCATTTAAACGGGCCCAATCAGAGCTAAGCTCTGTGTTTCAATTCGGCAGCCGTTACGATTCGGAGATATTCCAGGGGATTTTGCCTGACACAGGAGCCGCCGGAGTATCGACAGCTGGAGAAAGCCAAGTTAAGACTCTCCGAAAGATCATCCCAGAGCTCAAAATGGACACTAGGACAGCAGGCACCCATCGCATAACCTTCGGTGACAATCCCCACGTGGCAACCCTGGGAACAGTCGAGGTGAAGATCCCGTTATGCACAATAACGTTTACAGTCGTTAAAGCAAATACCCCATTTCTGCTATGCTTAACTGACATGGACAAACACCGCGTGTTCCTGGATAACACGCGGGACGTACTCGTCCATACGAATGACAAGGGTAAGCAGGAGATGTACCCCTTTGTGCGTAAATGGGGGCACCCTTTCTTTCTCCTTGACCTACAGGCCACAGCAGCAGCATGCCATCTGACTGAGACCGAGCTTCGGCAGCTCCATCGATGATTCGGTCACCCGGCAGTAGATAGACTCAGCAAGCTACTCTCGCGCGCTGGATACGAGGACATCAACGAGGATGCCTTAAAGCATATCAACAAGTTCTGTCATCAATGTCAGATCCACTCGAAAGCACCTGGCCGGTTTCGCTTCACGTTGCGAGAAGATCTAGAATTCAATTTTCGTTTGATTGTCGACGTCATGTACACAACCGGCAAGCCAGTTCTTCACGCAGTCGACGAAGCAACAGCGTTTCAAGCAGCACGATTTCTACCGAACATGACTTCCAAGACGACCTGGGAGACACTGCGAGCTATATGGATTGACACTTACCTTGGACCTCCAGACTTTCTGATCACGGATGCAGGAACCAACCTAAAGGCTGCCGAGTTTGTTGAAAACGCACGGCTATTAAACATCAAAGTGGAGGAAGTTCCTATCGAAGCACATCACTCGATCGGTAAGGTCGAGAAATACCACGGACCGGTAAAGCGAGCATACGAAATCTTGGCAATCGAGTTGCCTAACTTGCCAGTAGAGAACGTCCTCCAAATGGCTGTGAAAGCGGTGAATGATACCGCGGGCCCAGACGGTCTTGTCCCGACATTGTTAGCCTTCGGCGCGTACCCACAAATGACTCAGATATCCCCGCCATCTATAGACATCATCCAGCGAGCCGAGGCTGTGAAGAAAGCAATGGCTGAGATTCGAAAGCTTAACGCCAAACGCCAAGTGGAAGATGCTCTCGGCATGCGAAATGGGCCTAATATCGTTGATACATTACAGCTACCTCTCACGAGCGATGTTCGCGTGTGGAGGGAAGGTGCTGGTTGTACTGAACCTCACAAGCTTCTTGCACGGAACGATGATGATACGGCATGTACCGTCGAGATCAACGACAGACCGGTTATCTTCCGGATTACATCAGTCAAACCCTATTATCAGAATAAAAATACCGAGATCCCAGCAGCCGAGTTGTCAATAGAAGAAGGCAAGGAATTACAGCGCGATGACGCTGACGAGTACAACCCGGAAGCAAATGTTTCTGTAGCGCCACGCCGACGAGGTCGACCGAAAGGATCCAAGAGTAAGCCAAGTTTCGCTCCAAATCTAGAGGTAAAATATAATGGTAGCATTTTCTTAAGTGATAAAGAGAATGCCGATGCAGCTCTAGCCGTGAGGCTACGCAAGGAAGGGAAGATACTGACCCCAGGAGCTCCGTTCGAGCTATCTGATCAAGCAGAAATCGAAGCACTCATTGGTAACGGCGTTTTCAGATTCGAGACATATGATACAGCCAAGCATGGTAAATCAACTAGGTTCAAGGCAAGGTTGGTCCACGAAATTAAAGGAAAAGGGACAGAAAAACCATACGAAAAATCGCGACTTGTCGTAATGGGTTACAACGACATGGAGAAACAGCAAATGCTTACGCAGAGCCCCACCATACAACGGGCTAGCCAGTATATCATCCTTGCGCTCATGCCAACCTTATGTAGATCAACCACATTACTCGTCTGACTCCGAGACATAACCCAGGCGTACGTGCAGTCAGAGACCCCATTCCAGCGAAAGGTCATTGCGGAAATCCCAGTACAGATACGTCACATGTTCCCCCCAAACACCATAATGACGATCATCAAGCCTCTATACGGACTGGCGGAATCTGGATTACACTGGTGGGCTATGTACTTTCGCCATCACTGTGAGAAACTGCTTATGGAGACGTCGACGTTCGATCCCTGCCTTCTGGTAACCACAAAGAAAGCACCGTCGTTTGGAATAGTTGGAATGCAGACTGACGACACGTTAGGCCTAAGTGATGAGGCTTTCGTGGAGACCGAGGATCGAAATTTGACCTTCAAGGTGAAACCGAAAGAGTTCCTGACGGTGGACCACCTTCTCCTCTTTAACGGATGCAAGCTAGCACTCGAGGGTGATGACCTAGTGCTGCAACAAAAGAACCAGGCCGACAAATTTGCGCCAGCAATTGACAGCAAGTGGTACATGCAGCAGAGTGCACGAGGAGCCTACATCACCACGATATGCCATCCAGAGGCCTCGTTTAACCTATCTGCTGCAGCACAACACAAGGAACCAAACATTGCTGACATAGCAATGCTGAACAAACGGCTCAAATGGCAGAAAGAAAATACTTCTAGGGGATTGCGTTATGTGTCGTTGAATTTGGGAAATATGAAACTCTTTGTGTTTTTCGACGCGTCATTCGCCTACAACAAGGACCTAACCTTGCAGATCAGCTACATCATTGTGCTCGGCAGCGAGGAGGACCTAGATGATAGCTTTGAGATGACCGGCAATATCATTCACTGGTCGTCCACTGTTGGTAAAACACGAAGTTATACAAATTGGGTGCTGTCACAAAGTTAGCTGTCCGTCACGAAGTCGGTGAATAATCTCAATTAACTGGTATCTCGAAATACATAAAACGTTGTCTCTTCTTTCCTTCTCCATCTCTCCTTCCTTCCTCTACTCCAAGCGCCTCGCTAATGAGCTAAATCAGACCCCTGTCAGTGTCCTAACGACAACCTGAATACCGCAAATACATATAGCAATTTACACTACCAAAATATGATCCTTTTACCGACATCTACAAAGTGCAAACGCGTTACGCGCAGCGTTCTGGCCTCAGAAATTTACGCAATGGCTCACGGCGTTGATATGGCTGTAACGATTGCGGGAACTATTAACAATATCTCCAATAAGTTTGGCACCGTCCACAATCTCGATATCCCTCACATCCCCATAATCGTCTGCACCGATAGCAGGTCGCTGTACGAGTGTCTCGTCAAGCTTGGCATCACAAAGAAGAAACGCCTCATGATCGATATCATAGCGCTGCGGCAGAGCTACGAGAGGGGTGAAGTCCACGAGGTTCGATGGATCAATGGTAAGGATAACCCTGCCGACGCGATGACCAAATCAGCAGCCAACAGAACTCTTGAAAAGCTCATCAACACCAACAAGATGACCTTGCGTGTGCAAGGCTGGGTTGAAAAAGCCAAAACCAATTGACGGATCGATGAGGCAATGTATAAGGAGTTATGGGAGTGAATTGATCTTGGGAAGAGTGCGGTTAGAAACACGATCTTATTTTCCTACATTTGAGTATTTTACGGTATAGTTTTCATGAGATGGTTGGAGTTGTGGGTTTTAAGATCACAATGTAATTGATACCAAAAAAAGGTTGGCAATTTGCTCTCTAAAGAAAAAGTTGCCAGTGTCGGAGCACCTGCTCTGGTAGGCCTGAGGTTTAGATTCATGCCTTAGGCTCACAAGTGGACTCAGGTTTTATCAACGCTTCAGGGGCGTCCACAGATAGACATCCATATATATATACACGTTAATCAGTCGCCGCTTCTGCAGTAGCAAACACCATTCTCATTACCTGTGATATCACAGAGATTGACCCTGTCATACCAACAAAAGCCTTCGGAATCTTTATTTAAGGAAAGACTTATCTGTATATGTTAAACTAAGTCAACGGAGAATTATATATTATTAATTCATATTCAGAAAAGTGTTCGTCATAATATACAACTATCAATTAATTTTTGTCCGAAATTATACACTTGTTCTTCGAGATATTTCCTCCTAGAAATCCTTGACAATTTCTAACATACTCCAATTGCAAACAGGAGCTTGCCTCATTCTTTACCGACCATCACTCCCTATAAATTTACGACGCTACGTATACCCGTAAGGAGAAAATTAAGTCATAGTATACAAAGTTGGGATCTTGGTTTATGGGGGACTGTTGCTCTAATGTGTTGTGCTGGCTCGGTTGAGTTGTTAGGAGACAGGGGAACGGAGGATGGGCTGCTGGATTAGGAAAGGGTGGAAAATACAGGCTGGTGCATTGACGCTGTTCATGTACTCTACAATGTCTTGACCTGCCGAGTATAGTGAGTTAATCTTTCCAAGATAATATCATACTTCACATCATCCATTAGATGATATTATCAATCTACGGGATGCACATCTAGCATCACCTTCATAGATCGCCATCGTCAGTAAGAGTTCACATTTGATACCTACTGACACCCATTTGGCCACAGTGATACACACTCAGTGTCCATCGTGCCATCACCCAGCGTGAGCGCACCATCTCCGCGACTCACCATTGCACATGAGCCCGTGTAACTCCACCGACGAACAGCAGAGAGATAATTGCTATACACCTCACAGCTCATAACCACAACAATAGAGGCTTCCGTAACACTCTATATTGGGTAGAAAATGCATCTTCTAGATACAAAGAATGAGGTATTGGCCCTAATACTAAAATCACCATTGAGCTCGCCCGTCTGGGGCTCCACACACAAGGATATCTACTAGCTGCACGGTCCGGTCATGGCGACTTCACGGACTACCACTAACGTTTTCAGCACGAAAATGCCATTCTTACCTGCACATGCAGAGAAGTCCCCCAACAACTTTTTCTATTGCCACCTCGAGCGATACCAGGCTCAG